CCCCCCCCTCTGCCCCTCCCCCATTTGTGCTGTCTCTGTCTCTCAAAATAAATAAATACGCTTAAAAAATAAAATAAAATGTAATTTTGTTTTTAAAGTATAGATGTATACATTCCAGAAAGTTTGGAGAAAAGAGAAAAGAATAGTACCTATAAAACCCACCATCCCAAGAGGACCCTTCCAAGGGCATACTGTGGAAGGCAGCTGAGTACGGACTTGGTCTTGCTACTTCCTAGCTGTGGGACCTTGGGCAAGTGTGGAGCCTCCTCTGAGTCTCATTTTCCTCATCCGCAAAATGGGCATAATGGTAATAGTACCTGCTTTATAGGGTCTATAAAAACCAAATGAGGTTTTTCTTCTCTCATTTTTCAAGTGGGTTTTGAAAGGACAGCTGATAAGCCACTAACATCAGCCTGGCCCCTCCTAAGTCTCAGAAAATAAATGTTAGCTCTTCTTGGCTCTTTGCTTTAGTGTCTCTTTGTTTTGACATAGCATTATTTTATAAACAGAGTGACGTTGTACTGCTTGGGTTCATGTCCCGACTCGGACACTTACTACACGTGTAACCTTGGGTTGGTCATTTAACTTCTCTGAGGCTCCGTGACCTTGATAATCCCTACCTGACAAGGCTGCTGTGAGGGTATTATGTAAAAATTTCAGCAGTGCCCGGCATACAAGTACTTGATAAATATCCCTATTGTTCTCAGTTTTGCTGTGACGCCTTAAAACTCTTCCACCGGGTGGTTTTTTCCACAATCTCTTCAGCTATTCCATTACTGCTGTCAGCATTTTCCATTACCATAAACAACGCTGCAATGAACATCTTAGTGCCTTTGTGGGGCGGGGAGATCCATTTTAGCCACTAGGACGCTGGGCTGTGGGGTGCCCACTGGCATTTGGATTTCCAAGAAAGCATATTTAAAAGCGAAAGAGGGGCGCCTGGGTGGCTCAGTCAGGTGCTTGAGCGTCTGACTTCAGCTGAGGTCACGATCTCACCATTCATGGGTTCGAGCCCGGTGTTGGGCTCTGTGCTGACAGCTCAGAGCCTGGAGCCTGCTTCCAGTTCCGTGTCTCCTTCTCTCTCAGCCGCTCCCCCATTCGTTCTCTCTCTCTCTTTCCCTCTCCTTCTCCCTCTCTCTCTCTCTCTCTCAAAAATAAACATTAAAACACTTTCAAAAAGAAAGAAAGTGAAAAATGAGAGGTGATCCTTTGCTCTTCCGCCCCTCCAGTCAGACTGGGGCGGAATCCCAGCAGCCCGGGGTGAAGGAGGACTGCCACTCAGCGTCTCCTGGACACGTTGCCCTCACAGGGAATGACACACTGTCAGCCCTCATCCCAGCGACACTTCCTCCTTGAGGTCAGAGCTTTTATTTTTATTTATTTATTTTTTAAATTTTTTTTTCAACGTTTTTTTTTTTATTTATTTTAGGACAGAAGACAGAGCAGGCAACGGGGGGTAGAGAGAGAACCACAAGGCTCGGAAGTAGGCTCCGGCTCTGACCATCAGCAAACCCGGCAGGCTCGAGCAGACAGATGTGACCTAGCTGGTCGGGACCTTTCTTAACAACTTCGCCACCCAAGCCCGAGATCGAAACTTTAGAGCCAAGTCCCTCTCAGGCGTTCGGCTCTGGTCTCGGCCCCAGGCCCGTGCTCCTCTGGGATCACGGCCACACCGGCAGAGTGCTTTGCCAGGGCTCCCAACTGCTCCTGGGTAGTGTCTGGGGACATGCACCCGACCAGGGGGGAGCACCTAGCAGCTCAGCCTGGGAGAACTGAGCTCATGAGCAAGCCACCAGCGACCTGACCCTTCAGCCTCACAGCTTCTGCAGCTACAGAAAGGGGTGGAGAAGTGCCTCTGAGTCCCATCGAGGACTTCCCGGAAGGGCAATCTGAGATTCTGGAAAATTCCAGGCAGCGGCCCACTGGCTCCTCTTCCACGGCAAATCGCCTTGCCCCAACTGGACACATCTAATCAACCTGCCTCCTGCTGCACCTCAGCCAGCCCTGACCTTCGGTCTCAGCTGCTGAGACAAAATCTTGCAGTCACCCCAAGTCCTTCTGTCACCCCCACCATCTGCCCTTGATTTGTCAGAATCACACCGTCTCCAACCACCCTGCTCCCTACCCCCGGAGAGGGAGGTACTCCACCTCCTCTCCGCAGGCGATGGCAACAGCCCCCCCATGGGTTTGGCTGCTTCTCTTTTTTTACCAGGAGGCCAGGACTGAGGGAGGCGTCAGTCACTGAACTTCCGTTACTAAACTTAAACAGCAGCAAGTCTGGGCACACTGGGAGACCCACCATCTTCACCCCACCTTGTCTCCCTCTCCAACATACCCAGAACTTTTAGTTTACACAAGACAGGGACACCTGGTGGCTCCGGTGGGATTGAAACATCGACTTCAGCTCATGATCTCATGGTTCCTTTGAGCCCCCCACATGTTCTGTGCTTTGTGACTTGACAGAGCCTGGAGGCTCTTTTGGATTCTGTCTCCCTCTCTCTCTGCCCTCCCCACTCATGCTCTGTCTCTCTCTGTCTCAAAAATAAATATAAACATTAAAAAATTTTCTTTTAAACCTACACAAGTCAGGTCACCCCACAGCTCTCCCCAAACCCTCTAATGATGTCCCATTCTACCCTGAGTCCTCACATTGTCTACATGCTTATATGTGGTATCAACCCCCAAAGCGCCCTCCTCCCCGTCGGCCTTTGCTTCCAAATATATACCATAGCATGCATATGCTCTGCCCCGGCACTCCTGGCCCCATGCTCGTCCTCATATGCATCACCTGAGCATCAGGCTCAGGGCCTGTGTGCTTTGTGAGCTCCCTTACTGGAATGTTCTCCTGGATGTCCATATGGCTCTCTCCCTCACTGCTTCAGGTCTCTACCCAAATGTCACTTCCTGGCCACTCGTAAGTACCCCCATCCCCCACTCCCACCCCTTTATTCTGCTTTATTATTCACCATAACACTTATTATCTCCTAGAAGACCATGCATTTACTTGTTCGTGTGTCTTTTGGTCTGTTTCTCCCCAGGTGAAGGGCTGCTTCACTAGGGCTCCGCTTTGTTCCTTTTCCTTTCTGTCCCATTCCTGGTTCCTAGAATAGTGCATGATATGCAAATGGCCCTTAACCAACGTTTGCCGAATGAATTCATGAATCTGCCCGCCACCTTCTGCCTCTACCAGATGGCTGGCTCTTATGTGCCCACATCTCTTAGTGAAGCCAGTGTCCCTCCCCTGGCCAGCCCTGGCCTCCACTTCAAATCTTCAGGCCCAAAGAGCAGCCCCTTCCCACCCCCACTGACTCTCTCCCAGGCCTCCCTGCCCTAGCTTCCTGCCTTGCTATTTTTAGCAACATTTTCAGCTTTCTGTGAGCAGTCCCCAGCAGCCAGGATCGAGTTCATAGTACAAAACAAAGGCATCAAAGGCATTTGCAGCACCTACCTGGTTCAGCCCTGGTGACTCCCCAGTGGGCCAAGAAAATCAGCAGCTTGAACAGCCTCATCTTTGGGACTCGCCTCGTCTTTAGGGCTCACTTCACGGGAGCCACAGGACTCCCCCGAATCTGTGACTGAAACTGCAGGCTTCCTAACTAGATGTTGTTGGCCATGGGCCTGAGCAGCAGTTCCCGTCCTGTTTCCCTGTGTGCCTAGTCATCCGAGGCCCTGCCTCCTCTGGCTTTTCTGCCTTTGCCTCGAAGGGCGTGAGCAGGGCTTGCCCAGGAAGATGCACCAGCCAGGCCTTTGAACTCTGAGGGGTAGAAAGCCACACCTGTCCTGCCTGTCAGTCCAGCCAGTAACTGGATTCTCCGGGAAACTCACTCGGCACCAGCCACTGAGCAGCAAATATCACCTACTTTCAGAGGTTTTACGTTGCCCCACCCTCAGCAGAACAAACAAAGCTGGATGAAACGGCTGGCCTTTGCCATCAAAGAAACTTACTGCTAGCTGGAGCTCCAGATGCCCTAGCACAAGAGAACCAAGACTGAGTCATCCGTTCATTTATTCCAGGAACCCATGTCCCCAGGAGACAGAAGGGACCCAGGACAGCCCCTGCCTTCAACAGGGAGAGGGAAACCAGTGGACTGTAGTTTATTTATTTATTAAAAATATTTTTTTAATGTTTAATTTTGAGAGAGACAGACACACACAGAGTGTGAGCAAAGGGAGGGGCAGAGAGAGAGGGAGACACAGGATCCG